GAAACTGTAAATGGTGATATTCTGAGCCCTAAATTGCTTCTTGAATAAGTTGATATTTAGGATGTTGAACTTCGGAGGCAAGAGCTATTTTGCCAAATAATTTCCTTTCAAAACATGTAATTGAGGATTATAAAAGGAGGCAAGAAAAGGATTGATTCCAAAAATAAATCACATAATTCAGCTGTGGGGTTCAGCTGGGGATTTCCTTTGGAAATCTCAAAAGGATAAATGTATTTCACTTCTTCCCCACAGTTAATTCACAGAAGACCCATAGTAGAAATATCAGAAACCATTAGAATGATAAACTGGCAGCAGACTGACTCAGGAATAATGCATATCAAAAATGTTGGAGGAGTGACCCTCTGTGATTTTCACTCTCTCTCTTCCAGGAATCTGCACTGTTGCACCTGATTGGCTGAAAGGGATAAATTAATGGTTTGAATATTCAATTAACATGGACTGCCATCTAACAGCAGCCCAATTCAATTAATCCAGAGCATTATAGATAATTTGATACACATTAAATAATTGGTGATCTAATTATTTTGCCACAAAACACATCAAGTAACTTTTTTATTACTTTTCTCTTTCCTGTGTCAAGAAAATAGTAAGCAAAAGGCCTCAACAATTTCATTTGGAAGGAAAAAGCCTTTAAAATGAAGAGATTTTTAATGCCCTGTTCCTAAGGAAATTCAGAAGGGAGCTTGAAACAATTTGATTTTGAGTGGTGTTCAGCTTTGGGAGATTTGATTTATCAAGGTTCAACTGTAGTAACAGTCAAACCTCCATAAGCTGCCACCATGTGTTTGTGAGGTCTTTTGGTGGTTTAAAAGCACGTTGGCAGTTTAAAAAGGTGGCTGGTCTATCAAATAAAAAAAATACAGATTTTGGTTAAATTCCCATCAGCATACAATTTACATGCCTGAATTTCAGGTTTATCAGAAAAATAAACAAAGCGGCAGATTTAATTTTACTGAAGGCATTTTTTGTGCATAAATTTACATTTTATTCAGTAGTTCAAGCGAAATTTAGATCAGAAAGACAAATATTATAGATCCTGCGAAAAAAAAATTTTCAGGTTACATAGAATATATTTTTATAATACCTTGAGCAATAAAGAGCATCGATTGACTAAAATATCTGATCTTAATGAAAATTTAATGAGGGCATCTCGGGAATTTTGCGGTATTCGAGATTTGTGAAGATATTTTGAGCATCCCGTCAAATCTAGGAGGGATCATTTTTTCCGGCTTAGTGTATTATTCTTCCTTTTTTTAAATTAATACAGTATTTTATCCGAGTCGACGCAGCTGTTAATTAGCTTGGATAGATGGAAGTTGAACTACAGTATATTACATAAGGTGACGTTACATAATTTTAGAAACCGTGACTCATGGTACTTTTGGAGAAGTACTTGCGTGGATTCCGAGCAAAATTAGGACTAATTTGAAATACGAAAGAGACACTATTGTCAATTGTTGTACGCAAGTCTAAACTGACCTTGAAGTAATTCATCCTAAAGACATTTTTGCTAACTAAACCCCAGTAAGTTCATGTAAAATAATTATCACGAGACCATAGATGTTTCCAAGAAAAATCTAATCCGCTCCTAAAAAGGGCGATTTTTCTGGATCAGAATTTTTTCAATATCTGTAATTAAATTAAATTGAGCTTTTCGGCTTGTTACACAATTTGAGTTGGATTCTCGGAGTGCGAAAACAAATATCAAAATTTCGCCTTTTTTTTAAAGCACAAAGAGATTTTTTTCTTTTCTTGGCTAAATTTTCTGAAGGATAGTAGCTTTATTTGTATTCTTAATATTGAAAAAAGAACATCCTTGAATTGAGGTCGAAGAAGCTGATTGGTATCTCAGATATTTTGTTGAGCATCAGCATGTCCCTCGGCATCCGCTCAGTTGATGAACTTGTTTTCCTTCGACTCTCTTATTAGATGCCCCATTCCTTTTATGGTTCTGAATTTATCAGACTTGTATTCAGTGCTTATTTATTTATGATGTAATTAAATACTGTAGATACTGTATATATAGTATTTTTTTAAATAGTTGTTGAGTGGATAGTCTGCATTGAAGAAAAAGCACCTGGCAGGTTCTAAGCGATTTTTTCCAGATTGATGAAAGTGCTTGTGTTTATATTTTTGAATCTCTCTAAGTGATGATCGCTGACGAAAATACTTGATTCCTATGATAGATGGCTTCTTCAATATCACCAAGAGGGTTATAAGGAGGGAGAGTGACTTTATATACTGCTCACCGTGCTGTTCTGTATGAGATACAGTACAATACTAAACTTCTGACATGAAGTTTTTCCATATTTTATATTGTTTCAATTTTGAATTCAAACCTTTTTCTCATCGTGAATGTGCTGCGTACGATTCGTCTCTCGAGTACGCGCAGTTACATAAATATAGCTGCATTCATTAAAATTTCGTGTGCTCTGTATTAATTTTTATTTTCAATTTTTCATGCGCAAAAGGTTTTACGTTAATGTTTTCGTGTCTTGATACGGATCAAGGTTAAGTAAAAGCACGTCATAATAGATTAAATTACAGTATTCGCATTTACGCTTCAGTTGACCCGTTGGGGATTTATGCATAGATTTTCTTATGAATTGAATTGTAATGTTTCCAAGAAAGGTCTCGGAATATTCCGGAATAATGAACATGAGACAAATAAATATTTTTATCATTGGTTGAGTTCAGTGCATCGTCCCGCTGACTATATTGTATGCTTGAATTTAATTTTGTCAATTCACATCATTTGTCGATTCATGTTTCTGCGGCATAAAATGAAAGTTATGCTTGACATCTTTGTGTGTGCTTTTTTTTTTCAAGGTAACAGTCATGGTGGAACTTCTACGAGCATTTGCGAAACGGGAAGTACCGACAGCGTCGACGATGAGGAGGAAAAGCAACCTAAAGGATGTTGGAGCGTCCTCTATGCGTGGCCACGGAAAAAGAAGGCCACGCTTATTTCGCTCGCTGTGCTGGAGTTCACTGCCGCCGCTTGCCTCGCGCTGTTGGCTCCGTTCTTCCCGGTTGAGGTGCGTTCTCTCGATTTCCCATTAATACCGTAATTTCATGATTGAATCGGAACTTGAGTGTCATTGTTATTATGCAGGTGGAAAGTAGAGGATTATCTGACACAGTCTCGGGAATGGTCTTCAGCTGCTACGGTTTCGTGATGTTCGTGGCCTCGCCCATTATCGGTCGCTACGTGAGTCACTGACAAGTTCGACTTGAATTCAAGAATCTTTTTTTTCAACAGATTAAGTAATCGACTAATAAAAAATACGACTGGTATAGACGCTGTTTGACATCGAGATGCTCATTATTTCCGTTTTGTCTTCTACCAGATCATACCCCGAATTGGACTACAGTTCGTTTTCCTGTCAGGCTGCCTGTTCACAGGAACTTGCAGCATACTATTTGGGTAAGTTGGAGCTGATGTTATTCTTCAGAAAGTGTGAGAAACAAATAATAAAAAATTGAGGTAATGACTTGATTTTGAATTAAAGTATAATCATGTGTCACCTGATCGTAGATCATATTTACAGTACAGTATTGCCTAATCATTGTTTTATTTGCTTGTGCTGCTTTTGGATAAATGCAAAATGTTGAACCTATCGAGAAACATTCTCGGCTTCAAATTTTTTCATAATGGTAATGATACTGTAACAACTTGTGAGGTTTACTTGGAATGATTATATTAATAAGGAACGTGAAAATATTTCGGAAGTTTTACCCCGAGAAAATTAAGTTAATTGCGAACGTTCCTTTTTCCGAAAGTTCGCAGGTTTTTTTTGCGTAATGAATACTTGAAGAATTTCAAGGGGAATTGAATATCAATCTCAAACCGCTCTGCACGATTGCCGTAAATTCGAAGCGATTCGAACTTATTCACGTCAGCATTAAAAATGATTCATTAATTTACATGAAACCAATATTTTGTTTTGAAAATATGTTTCCATTTTTGTGTTTCTCCTTGTTGGACTGAAATTCTTTGGGATATCGTTACTCGTTAATTAGGGTGCGTCTCATACTTGAAAACAAACTTTTCTTGTAAATTTTCAAAACTTGTTTTGGCCATTATCCTTGGATCACATTGTAGATCAATTAAAAAGGGTTTCACATATAATTACCGTTATTGAATTCTTCTTCTTTTTCAGTTTTAATCTATAACGTTAGCTGTTGTAATTCTTGAACTGTAAGAAATATTTGAAATATTTTTCACTGAAAACTGGGGTGCGCTTCTTGTTCAGGAATAAGTTTTTTTCATAATTTTGAAGCTCAAAAATTACTCTGGGTGTCTTATATACAAAGGTACATGAGGCTTATCGATTAAATAATGTGGTTTACCGAATAATCTCGTTATAACCTGTAATCGATTAAAACGACGACATTTTTTGCAGGTCTCTGCTCAGCAGCAGCCACACTGTTGAAATATGTCCTCTCTTACGAAGTTTTTTTTACAACGAAGTTATATCACTTGTCTGGATTGCTTCGTTGTAACGTGATTTTGCTGTAATATGTATATATATTTTTTAAGGCTCCTTGACGATGTGACTGACAAGGAGGCATTTGTGACCCTGGCATTCATTGTCAGGTCAGCCAAGGCACTCGGAGCAGCAGCTTTCTCGACAGCATCGTTCACCTATGTTGCCCACGGGTTTCCTGAGAGTCTTGGTGCCATGATGGTGAGATTATTTCACCATTTCTTCACGTTTTCGTCTTGAATTCGATTTTTTTTTGGCAGGGTACGTTGGAAACCTTCTCTGGGCTGGGGTTAACCCTTGGTCCCGTTATTGGAGGTGGACTGTACACTGTGAGTGTTTCAACTCCGGTGTGAATAATTCACACAAAATTAAGCATAATTTACGCCTGAAGTCGGATCAGCCCTGGATGTGCTGTTGAATTGACAAAATTCCTTTTGAATGAGGAGATATATGTTTAGATGAGTTGGTGATTTAAAGTTTTAAATGGAAATGTTTTTCCCTTTTCCACTCTTGGATTTTTAGTCGTGGAAAATCATCCCAAGAATTTTTTGAGCATGACAAATTTCGCAGTTAAAGTGGGATACTGTACTTGAAAAAAAGCTGCAACTTTGTGGCAGCTTAAAAATTGCATTCTTTAAAACTCGAATTTTTGAGTTGAAATTTTGAAATAACTGTTTTTACCCTGCAAGTTTAGAGCACTCAGTTTATCAACAAAAATGCGTCACTATCTTTTGAATTAGGCGTGCGCTAGGTTTTTGAAAAAGGCAGAACTTTTGGTATTTAAAATTTATCAATTTTCAACTGTCAAATTTTCAAGCTTGGGGGTTACAAACTGCCGTTTTTCGCCATGGGAACCCTGCTGCTGATGACGATTCCAATCAACTACAAGCTGCTGCCCAAGATAGCTGCTAGTGACAGAAGATCGAGTGAGAGAATTTTTTTTTGAATTTCTGCCGTGACGATTCTTACTGTTTTTAAAATCAATTAGGACTTTTGCTAAACTCCAGTAAGTGGAAATGCAGCTGCATCAGGGCTGCCATGGTGGCTTGTGTTGCAGCAGCGACTGGTACAGCTGCTGATTCTTTCATTGATCCCATATTTGAGCCTTATTTGAAGCAGGTTTGCGTCCATGTTTACGCATGCTGGGTTCGATTCCGCAAGCTTCATTAAATGTTCTTCCGTTAAATCAATGAAAAAAGATATGTTGTTGGGCATGCATGCCATGTAAAGTAAAGTACTCTAATCAGTTCCTAGAAGTACAGAATAATCCCCCCTCCTCAAAATTGCAGTGCCAGAAAACCGCAGCATCCTTGACAATATCTTTTCTACTCTGATTCTGGAAGTAAATCCTATTGAAGGTTAATTATTATTAGTAGTATATAAGCAGCTCCTTTTCACATATTCATCAGATCAGTATCAGTTCAGTTGTGTTACTTGAATCATTTGGTTACTCTTACAAGTTCAGTTTCATTGAGTTTTTTTATTCAATTACTCTGTGAAATACAATTACCCTTTTAAAATAGGAATTTCTAAAAGGAATTCCCAGTCCTTGTCCTTGGCTGATTGTTGTGTTTCATTTATCAGCACTTGACATCAAATTACTGTATATTGGCATCATTTGTCCTCAATGTATGTATACCATGTACAGTGAGGCCCCAAGATTTGGATTTAATTACAATTTTATTGCTCAAGTATCACATGCAACTTTTTTCTCAAAATTTACAGGGAAAAATGGGGTGAACTGTATACAGGCAGGTATGGATTTTTTAAAGCGTCTTAGGAGTTTAGATGTGTGCCTCATATTTAATTCTAATGGGAAATTTTACCCCTCCTCAAAATTGCAGTGCCAGAAAACCGCAGCATCCTTGACAATATCTTTTCTACTCTGATTCTGGAAGTAAATCCTATTGAAGGTTAATTATTATTAGTAGTATATAAGCAGCTCCTTTTCATATATTCATCAGATCAGTATCAGTTCAGTTGTGTTACTTGAATCATTTGGTTACTCTTACAAGTTCAGTTTCATTGAGTTTTTTTTATTCAATTACTGTGAAATACAATTACCCTTTTAAAATAGGAATTTCTAAAAGGAATTCCCAGTCCTTGTCCTTGGCTGATTGTTGTGTTTCATTTATCAACACTTGACATCAAATTACTGTATATTGGCATCATTTGTCCTCAATATATGTATACCGTGTACAGTGAGGCCCCAAGATTTGGATTTAATTACAATTTTATTGCTCAAGTATCCGTACGTTGAAAAAAGAGTTTTAAATGTCCCTTTTTACCCCACTTGACATATGTCCGTCCATACCTAAAAAATTTCGCAGAATCCTCAAATCTACACACGGAGTATAAATTAAGATTACCCTTTAAAAGGAGCATTTTCAACAGAGAAACTTAGTGCAATGGTACACAGTATATACAGTACACGTGGTACCTTGCAATTTTACCCTAATTTTATTGCTGGACTAGGGTCAAACTGCAAGACAATGTCAAATGGCATGTTTTCTACATGGCATTTGATGTTTCATGTCTCTCCATAGGTGGAATTGCATGGCAGAGGTCAAATTGAGAGTCAACCTCCTAACCAATTTGACTGTCAAATTGTGGGATGGTCAATTTATGGGAGGTCAAATTGTGATGTACCACCAGTAATTGAAAATTAGTTGAATTCAGGTTGTTTTTTTAATACTGTGTTGCAGTCCTGAGAGTCACTAAAAGTATAGTGTGAGTCTCACTGAAAGATACAGTTTAACAACATTCTTAAATGTAAACCCATGGTGCTCATCTTGCTTCAGGGTGTGTTTTACTTCACCTTTAGTCATATTAAGAGTCTGACGCAGGTCTACACACCCTTACAGGTGTACAACCTGTTGTACAAATGATTCTGAAGTTATCTCTGTAAAATTAGTGAACAGTACAAACCGTTTGTTAAAATTTTTATTACTGATAAATTCAACTGCTGGAGAGGTTTACTTGACTTTGGCTCTCTGCACAATTATTTTCTGCATCCCAAACAGAATCCGCCCTTTTGGTATGAAAAGGAGTCCAGAGGGCAAAAAAACACATATTTTACAGAATATAATTGATGGAGAAACCCCGTGAAAAGAGCAGCACAAAATTTCTTTGTTTTGGAAAAGAAAAAAGTGAAGTTTTAATAAAACATATTTTTGTCCATAGCAGTACAGTAGCTCAACTTGCATCAGAGTTACATCATTGGAAAGAAATTCTGGAAATTGTGGCAAAGTGTTTATATCTTGAGACATTGCCCAGTTTTTGGGGCAGAATTTTTGGGTTCAGGGTGCCCAAATTGTCTGCATTTTGGGGGAACATGTGGACATTCTGACTTATGGGCACATCAAAAAGAAGAAAAAACATTTTTGGACGAATTTGGCTGCTGGTATGGACAAATTGCCCAAACATCCTAAAAATTTTACTTATGAGCTCTTATTTCAGCTTAACTTGTATTCAAAGTGTCCACGTGACAGGAACGAAAAAAAATGTTTCCAACATATACTGTATACAATGTC